AAATAAAGAAGAAATTGCAGTCTCCACGAAAAGCTGCAAATTACGGAATTTAAGAACATGAACAATTTGATGTACGAGAGGAATTAAATTCATTCGAACTGTCAGCGTGCTGACGCGTTTCAGGAATAGAACAATAAATCTATGGAAGGTTATTAAAATCCGTCACACCTTTTGACAATCGGTAAGCGGGAAACAGGTGCAAATGGGAAAATAAACCAAATCTACACACACGCGCGCGCACGCACACACACACACACACACATATATATATATATATATATATATATATATATATATGTATATATCATAATGTGTCTGTAGATTTGGTTTATTTTCCCATTTGCCTTTGTACATACACATATATATATATATATATATATATATATGTGTGTGTGTTTGTGTGTGTGTGTGTGTGTGTGTGTGTGTGTGTGTGTGTGTGTGTGTGTGTGTAAATTTAATTCTCAGAACGTCCGCAATATGGCGCTGGGCTTATGAAACATATTCTAATTTCCTCTCTCTTAGGAAGCAAATCAGCTGAGTCATTATCTGCCGAACAGTACTGGAAGTGTTACGTGTTCTTGTTACGCTGTTGGTAGAAAATAGGGATGAACGATTTTAGAGCTGTAAATTGTGGGCTAAGATTGGCACGAGTACGAGTGAAAGTTAACCCCTTATTAAAATGACTTAAGGTGAACATGCGATGAACAGGTGGAGTGTTACTGAGTAGCACATGCGGGTCAAACAATAGCGAGAAGCAGTGAAAGATGAAGCAAGGAACGAGCTGCCAAAAACACAAAAAATATTTGTAAATTCGGACAGAAGGCGACTGGGAACAAAGTAACTGAAGAGAAGGAATCATTGCGTCAGATTCTGATAGATTTGGGAATTCAAAAACTATTAGAATTTCGAAGTTCCTGGCTATTTTTTACCATACTAGACCATCTGTTTATTTACCATAATAATTCATGTTTTCCTTTTAGGGACCGAGTTTCTTGAGATAGTGAAAGATTATGCGTCTCCATCACTTCCTATAAATTGTAGCTTTTAGTAAGTTTTGACTTTTTCTACAACTGCCAGTCCCTGTTCTGACATCAATTTACGCAAGCATGTTATGAGGGTTACTCGAATATTTGTCTTGTGCGTATCAAATTCTCCAATCCCTCTTTTCTTATTATATACTCGCGATTGTCTCTTTCATATCTGTCTATGTTATCATTGTTATGTTTCTGTAGAACCACATTTCTTTTGTTTAAATCTTTTCATCTGTGAGGAAATTACTTAGCATTCACTGTCATATAACTTACATAATGGCTCGATACGCTTTTCTATATTTCTAACGAAATTTTCCTGTTTGTTAATACTTTACTTAGTTTTTTGAAGGCGCCTTTCGCTATTTCAATGCAGCTTCTTGTTTCGTTGTCAAATATTCCCTTCGTTTATTAAAATGCTTACCAGATAATTAAATCATTGTATTAGCTTGATTTAATTTTATTTCCTACAATTCGGACTACGGCATTTGGAATATTTTTTGTTTTCTTACAATTGATGTTTAGTTCTTTCTTTTCACCTACGATACATTACTTCTTCTGATTTTATGTGCCGTGTTCTTTCAGGACGTAGGCAATCATGGCTCTCCACCTCTTCCTGTCCGTGGTAGCTCTCAATAAGGCTTGTCTTTTTGCTATTTCTCCTACACCCTGTTCTGCCATCCACTTGATTAAACAAGTTAAATATGCTCCGTTGCTTTCCTTGTCTTTCTTTCCCTCTATCCGTCCTGTGAGTGTCAGATTTTCCAAGCACTCCTTTCTCATTACGTGTCCCCAAAATTTCATAACATATACATTATTCTTTTATATGTTCTCTGTAAGTTTCTGCAGTTTTCTTTTTGTGTGTGCTTTCAACTCTGTGACATCTGCATATCTCATGTTGTGAAAATTGTGGCCGCCAATAATAAATCCCGGTAGGATTTCTAGTTCGCCCATGTTCATTTCTCTGTAGAGAAAGTAAATCTTTGTTTTACGCCCCTTTCTATTTTAGTCAGTTAGTTATGTGCCATGCGTGATATATGACTGACGAGGCAGATTTTTTTTTCCCGCAGAAGGTTGCCATTTCTTTCAGTCGCCATCTGGTCTGTCCTGCTATTTGCCCATAGCCGGGGGGAAGAAGAAGAGGATTCATACCTTTCCCAAAGTTATTAGCACGTAAGTGAATGTAATGGAGTGTTACTGAGTAGCACATGGAATTCGAACTCGTCTCTCCGATTCCTCAATCCGAGCTGCTATCCGTTACTCCACCGTGCCTCCTCTATTTAAGTAGATTTCAAGAATTCATTCTTTCCGTATGTAGCTGGTTTGCTCCTGATGTAATGAATATGTATATACCTGTGTTCCCTCTCACAGGAATATGATTGGCTGGTGTCAGCCATAAATACAGACTGATGTAGAGGTATAGGCGACGCTCATCGGACTACGCCATTGGCTATCTTATTGGTCTACGCATATTGCCTACACCTATTGACTGCGACTACGACGAGTACCAGTTCCATTATTGCTACCTGCTAGATTGTTCTACTCCGTTACAGTAGCCTAAATCACTTAGCTACTTCAATCAAATATATACCTTTCCGGGACATATCAGCTCCCTATATTAATTCTAGATTATTCTAATATATTTTTCCGAATAAATCCTCGGGGTTCTTGATAAGATCCAGAGACGGATATGCAGTATAATTAGCCCTAGTCTGGCATCTCGTCTGCAGTCTCTCTCTCTCACAGACGTGCCGTCTCGTCTCTCTGTCTTTTTTACAAATACTTTGATGGTAATTGCTCCGATGAGATGCTTTCGCTGGTTCCATGACTTCGCGAATTCAAGCGTCCTACGAGGCTGGCATCCCGTTCTCATCCTTTCACTGTCGAAACTATTAAATGTAGGCGTCTCTTCTACTCCAATAACTCCATAACTCGCACCTCTCGCCTGTGGAACCTTCTTCCCTATTCCAGTTTCCCTGAGAGCTATAATCTCCAACTATTTAAATGTAATGTCAATGGACATCTCCAGTTGCATTGATCTATCCACTATCCTTCTCTTCATCCTTTCCTCTATCATTCCTATCTGCCCTCGCTCCAAATCCTCTATAACCCCTTGCGTGCTAGTGGCTTCCCGCCTTGCAAGGGATGAAATGCTTAAAAAAAGTCAAATTTTCCTAAATATTTATACAGCAACTTGTGCCGTAACTTATCAAACATTTTTACATAATCTATACAATTTTGGCATATACCGGGTGTAACAGCAGAATTGTTCAAATCGTGTAACGGCAAAACAGTCTAATTTTTAGATTAAGATCTGAATCGTTGTTTCTTAGAAATGATTAAAGATATATTATTGGAATTTTCCGAGGTTTTTATAGGCCTATTTGACTCTACTTTGAGCAAAAGAATGTATAATTAGTCTCCAAGCATAACAGACGTATCGTAACAAAAACGATTATAAACGAAAATTAGACAATAGCTAAGGAAGAACATGAAAGATTGATAGAAAGTTCAAATATATATATATATATATATATATATATATATATATAATATTTTTTGTTTAAAAATATGATTCCTTCGCTACATAAGAGTTCTCATGTTTCAAAAACGAGAGCCGAAACCACCCAAATAATTATTCAAATTAAGTTGAATTGTGGTGTTTAGTCCCGTTTCATCTTCAAGCGAAATTTTAGGAATAAGTTATCTCTCGGTTTACGTGTGTTTTTAGGCATGGTCCGTTACAAAATTCGTTATTGTGGGAGTGGCTAGACTATTTTTCTTCGGTAAGTGGTCAGAGAGTTAATTCTTATCAATAGATTCATCATCTTCTGAGAGGTTTTGCTAAGGTTGGGTAGGGTATATAATATTTGCGGTCACCTCTTAGTTGGTTCCCAGTGAGGGATATTTTTATGGCGCGCCTACAAGTCGTTGTGTATCTGGAGAATTGTCTTTTATTATTGTCCATCTGATTATCTATTTATTTATTTGTTTATTCAAGTGGGTGTTTAATATACAAATCGTATTCCACTGAATTTCAATTTTTTTTTGTTTTTTGACGACGACAAAAAGGGTTTTTCCTATTTAATTATTTGGCTAAGCATTTAAGACTTTTATTTAGCTATGGAATTTTTTTTTTATGCTAATTATTTAATGCGAAAGTTTGTTGATGTCGGCAAAAAACCGTTAACTCCTGCCTATGGTTTAATAATTTTTCATTATTTAGAAATTTAATGATGTGTAGTTTTTCCTGTATGCATAAAAGTTATGGGTCATCCCAGGTTTTACAAGTTCTTGTTTTATTTACTATTTTCCATTTTACTTTTGGTGTTTTATTCGTTTCTTTTAGATGCCAGAAATATTGGGATAGAGATGTCTGATTTCTATTTTGAATATTGTTGAAGGAGCTCTTGTGTTGTCTCCATCTAATTTTAAAATTATTCTTCGTTGAGCCTATGTATATCCTATCAGTGTTAGAACTCTCATTGGATGAGATAGTGCATTTGTATACCACGGATTTTGTGAGGCATTTATTTTCCAACGTGAGGCATTTATTTTCAACAATATTCAAAATAGAAATTTTTTTTTCGTTTCTATCCTTGGGCTGCTCTGTGACCATCAGCGTCTTAGGTCCTCGTCCGTACCTGAAAGCTTTCAGTAGGGAACAAATGAAATAAACTAATCAACTAAACGATTCTATTTCTTGTTAATGAATTTATTGCCAATCACCGTATAAACGTTTAAACCCCTTTTCCATTCGTTATTTAACTGTACCCAAAAGTTGAACTTAATGCCTGAGAAACGTCATCTATAAATAAATGCCTTTCTTTTAGGTTTTTTAAAATGTTTCTAATCCCTTTGAGAAATTCTCATGATCAAAGGCATCTCAACAGAAGAATTCTTCTGTGATATAAACAGGGAAACATTTTGCAATTATTTTGTTAATTTTATTTGCATTCTAATATGGTAGCCATGGAAGAACTTTTTTCCTTTGGGACTGTAAAATATTGATCTTCACGCAAAATTCTAAAGTGAAGAAGAAAAATAAATTAAAAATGATAAAAGATAAAACGTCTTTAAGCTGTACTTTTACTAGTTTCATAATGAATATATTTTTTGTAAATGTATGTAGGTCATTTGAGTGCAAACAGAAATCGATTTTACGAATCAGTTTTATCATACATATACTTGTGTTTTTTTTGTTTTTTTTTTTTGGTAGACTTTAGCAAACCCACTTATCAGTACAAGCAGGCAAACACAGACACGTACTGTAATTTCTCGAAAATAATACACATTTTTTACTGTAAATTACAGGTGATAATATGACTTATATGAATATAATGGTATAATAATGGTTATATGGTATAATAAGTTTTTAATTTAACGTTTTTGTTTTTGTTATCACCTTGCGGTTATAAGGTAATAACGATGGCTACAAAATTGTTTCAAAAGATACAGTTGACATTATTAATATTTTTCTGAATCCCCATATATATATGAACTGCACCACATATTTGATTTAAAAAAAAAACTGATCTGACGTGCAAATTCTGGGATAATAGCTGCGACATTGCTTTATTTATTGAACAATTTAGTTCATGCCACATGGACTGAAAAAAAAATACAACAAAAGAATCCTCCAATTACCATACTAGTAAAAAAACGCAATCTCTTTTAAATTTTCAAAAAATTCAACCTTAGCGTTGCAACCACACGCTCCAGAATTTTTTACAGTTAACAATAACACATTTCTAAAAAACATATTTCGATTCACATCTAATCTTTCGTGTCCCGTTATTACCTGGATGTATTTAAAAAAAAAATTCAATTTCCATGCCTAATGATGTCTGTATGAACAGATGAAAGTACTTGCAAAAAAAAAACCTTATACAAGTTGAATTTATGAAAAACAGGGATCAAAACATTCATCTAGAGGTTCGTGGGTTAATGTAATTTTAATAAATTTGTTTGCGAAGATGTATTCTCGCCATTTATATCATTAACTTCACTAATCTGTTTTTGTATGAATGATTCATATAATACATATATATATATATATATATATATATTAATGTATAATTTGGCAGCAAACATTCTTTCAAACGTCTTCCGTTAAATATGATAAACAAGGAAAATTTATTTTTTATTTAATATACCAAGGTTCTTACACCTGCCCATTTTGCGGGTGTAAGTTAGTGCAAGAATTGTCCATTATCCAAAGTACTTACAATCACTTTTTTAGCCAATTTATATATATATATATATATATATATATATATATATATTTATTAAACAATATATATTGTTTGTTAAACAAGTCGAATGCAAGTGAATCATGATTAACCAATTAAATTCAAACAACACAAAAATAAAAATACCATAATTTCTTTCTTTCTTTTTCATTATATCTCATTTTCTGATTAAACTCTAATAATTTGAAACATGTTAGATTGATAAACATTTCCTATTTCTTAATTATTTTAACACACGCACACACGCGAGTGCGCGCGCACACACACACACACACACACATATATATATATATATATATATATATATATATATATACAAGGTGGTAATAAAATCACTATACAGTTATTATACTAAAAAAAACAAAGCATTGAAGCAGGTTGCTTGCAGTTCGAAAAGTATCGACAATTATTTTACTATTGTTTACAATAGCATTTTATTGTTACTAACCAGAATTAAGCAGAACCATTTTAATAATAATTGTCTGAACTGTTGATTAATTCCTTTGTTTTAATTGTTATTGAAAGTAACTGTTTAGTGACTTTATTTCCACCCAGTGTGTGTGTGTGTGTGTGTGGTGTTGGTGGCGTGTCCTAAATATACGCTGAAGCAAGCAAATAGGAAAATGAATAATTTTATTAATTTCACTTATAAATAAGAATAATGATATAAAATTGTAATTCGCCATTTTTAAAGATAGTTCAATTGAATTCTTCGCTTGTGAAAAATCATCACTTTGCTGTAGAAACCTGGCTTTTATGTCATCAACAGTAGCTGTTATTGACTGGTGCACACTATGCGTACTGCCTGACTATTGTGTTTTCCCTTAATTTATACTATATTTCATCTGGAAATGTCATATCGTTTTATTATGGAAAGAGATTGCTGTAAATTGACCTTTGCTTAATAGATACGGATACAGCAAGTTGCATGTCTACTTACACGTTTCAAGTGTTCATTAGAGACGATATAAATGCACCGCGTCTCCCTAAGGCGTCACATGAATAATAAGTAAAATAAATAATACGTTAGATTTAATAAAGCAATTTCCAATTTTGTACGGAATATTTTATAGGAAAGGTCGAGCGTGTGAGAAACAATGAGGTTCAAGAAACGTTGCAAACAGGGAGAAGGCTTATACTTAACATCGGTAAGAGGTAGCTGAAGTCTCTGAACAGACAATAAAGAAGCATAGCCTGGAGAATCTGATACTCACGGATCGAATCGAACGAAAGAAAGACAAGGGAAAACAACGCGTGACATACCTGGCGGACTTAAGCAAGTGGATGGCAGAACGTGGTCTGGTAGGAGAGAGGGGTGGAAGCAGAGCGAAAGAACTTGCTAAGAGCAGCAAGGGATAGAGAGAGGTGGAAAGCCATGATCGCCCACGTGCTGAAAGGACATGGCATATAAAAAAGAAAAAGAATATGTATTTTCCATCCTACAGCCATTTCCACCAGATTCAACGTCGCAAGACTATCGCTACTTCCGTGACAAATACCCAATTCTTCATTCTCTCGTGCCATTGGACCTTGGCAGGCAAAACTCCTCTTGCTTTGCCCGGAGTTTTGAGTCACCGTGATTCCCTATAGATTCATTTGGGATGAAGGATGTCCCACTCTGATGGCTTCTATATCCTAACCTATATTTTGGGCAACAGAATCCCGCTTTGATTGTTTTCCTATAAACTCTACAATGTGAACCTCTTCACGTCTAAGGTCAATTCTTATCTATCCTCCATAGTATCATAATCTTCATTTCATATTTCAAATCAAACATTCATTCATTCACTATATATTGACACTAGTATATATATATATATATATATATATATATATATCTTGTGTGTGTGTAAATATATATATATATATAATATATATTTATATTCATACAGGAATTGAATGTGTGTGTGTGTGTGTGCCAAAAATAAAACCCATCTAAACCTGTCCATACATATCCCCGATAAAAAAACCACCCTTCGGCGGAGCTTCGTCTGAGTTCCCTCTGCAAGCAGAGAGTTCGACAGACATCCGACCCGGCAGCTCACAAAGCGCAGATACTACACTTTGATCCTATACATAATATATATATATATATATATATATATATATATATATATATATATATATATATATATATATATATATATATATATATATATATATATATATATATATATATATAATTATATATACATATATATATATATATATATATATATATATATATATATATAGCGCCCTTTCCTTTTTTAGCCAGTTTTCCCTGAAGATCCGTTTAGGTGAAACCTAGGTATGTTTGCCTGACTCTTCAGGTTTTATTCTAATTTACCGCTCTTCTTAGCGTATTGAGCCCGCTACGTTTTAGTCTTTATCCTCGCTTGTTTTTTTTTTTTCTTTGGACTAAGGACTTTAAACACTTTTTTTGCATTGTTCTGATGTTTTTAGTTCTTTCTTTTTCGGAAAGAATTGAATGAGTCTAATGGGAGTTTGGAGTGATTCCTCGTCATGGCAACGGTATGCCTCCATTCATCTTCCTACAGAACCTCAGACTCAACGCGAAGTCCTGCAACATATGTTTCGAGGAGGTCGAGCTGTTCTGTGTTGGAAGGACCTATGTCTCCACACAAGCAGAAGAACCCAATCATGGCTGTCACACAATTTCTGCCAAAACCATCACCCCTTATATCTGTCCACCTAACTCCCCATACTGCAACCCCCTTGATTATTATGTGCGGGGCGCAAACCACAAAAACTCCTTGTAAGACCACAGATGAACTGGAGGTAAGTATTATGACAGCATTCGCCAACTTAAACAAAACGGACACCCAGAATAGATACAGTTGTTTAGAGGCTGTAGTTGAAGCCAATCGCGATTTTATTGAATAAATCTAGACTCGTTGTTATTCCAAGATATATTCGTGTAATATTGGTAAATATATTTGTTAAAATGAGAGGTCAGTCTTATTTTTTTATAATTTAGACAACAATGTATCCACCACATTCAGTATATATATATATATATATATATATATATATATATATATATATATATATAATTATTTTAAATTATTTGCTCTGAATTTACATTGAGCTCTCTGGATTTTATCCTCCTTAGTTTTACTCATACGAATTACCTAGTTTTTCATAAACTATATATATATATACCAATTAGCTACACAGAAGTCTGATCGATTCCTGTCGGAGAACGCATATTTTCTAGGACATTTCTCGAAAATTCAGGCAAGTAAATGTAATTAATACCTTTTAAAACAGAGCATTTACGCAAATAAATTTTATCTATACATATAAAGTATAAACAGAATATATATATATATATATATATATATATATATATATATATATATATATATATATATATATATATATATATATATATATATATATATGAATATATATATATATATATATATATATATTTATATATATATATATATATATATATATATATATATATATATATATATATATATATATATATATATATATACACACGCACACACACTATCTGTCTAATAATATGTACATGGCTATGTTTTTATAAGTTGAAAAGAGAGCCTGGTTGTATATATATATATATATATATATATATATATATATATATATATATACACACACACACACACGAGCCCTTTCGCGCGCGCTCACACACACACACATATATATATATATATATATCTATCTATATATATATATATATATATATATATATATATATATATAAAAGTCGAGTTGAATTTTTTTTAGTATTATGTAATCTGGAGCAACCAATTTCGATTACGCTTCTCCTCCCTTATATAACATTTAATCATCTCATGAAATAAATCGAAGAATTCATCCGTTAGAGTTAAGAGTTAGGATTTTTCTCGAGAAATTATAAATAGCCTTTCGTTACTGATAGTTGAATCGTTTCTCTCCTTCTCTATCTCTCTCTCTCTCTCTCTCTCTCTCTCTCTCTCTCTCGCGCTCTCTCTCTCTCTTTCTCTCTCTTTCTCTCTCTCTCTCTCGGCGACGGAACATTGCAGACAACACTGACGCAACAATTTCTGCTGTGATTGTTTACGGACCAGACGATTCCTTGTAATATCCTTCAAGTCTCCCAATTATATAATATCCATCATTCTTCCATAATTCTTATAGGTCATCTAATTAATTAATAAGGTTGGTGCTCAGGCCAGTTAAAGGCCAACAAAATGCCACAGTATTGATTATCTGCAAAGAGACATCGAGATCTCAGCGTATCAAATATAGTTGAGAAATTCTCTCTACAAAAACTGTTACCTGAACAAGCTACACTGGCGAAAATTTATTTTTGTAATAATATTTTACAACACAAATGTAAACGGTTACCTAATAAATATTTGTATATCGGGTCGAACACAGAACCTCTCTCTCTTTTCTGAAAAAAAAAAAAAATGATAATTTCTTATTTTTCTCTTTCTCATCCAGTTAAAAAAAATCATATTATTTAACTATAGTTCGCGAAATACAAAGCCTAAGGACCCCTCTAGATAGAGTGTGGTCGATTTTTCTAAAGACGTCTTGGTGAGAAAATACTGCATTGCAAGAGTTTCTTTTCTCGCATTTCTCACCTGTGGAACACCGTTCTGTTTAATTGCTTCTCTTAAAACTACAGTGTTCGAAAATTTGAATTAAACAACATCTTCTGTCTTCCCGAATCTTGTTCATTTCTTTGTCCTTTCCTCCCTATTTTCAGTTCTTTCTTTCATATTCAATGTATTACTGGAATTACCGCCTTGCTTGGGGCGAAATGATTAAAAAAAGATAATTGACCATAGATTTTGAAAAGGTTAAACTTCTACCGCTCAGGAAAGCTGCATTGCGAAGGTCCGTTCCCCAATACAGCACTTATTGGGAAGAAGCTGTCTGAATAGAACGTCCTCCCTATTAATGGAATACGAAGGGAATGCGTGTGAGGGTATGTGGCCTGAAAGGTTCCAGACCGGTGGGGCAAAGGAATATAGATATGCCTTTAAAATAGCGATATGGTAGCGAAGGGCTGGCAACATTTCGTCTGAGGGAAAAGGGGCTGTAGATTAGAAAAATCCATCACCCATAAGGCCGCGCACATACTTTTTCGACTGTGCTGAGGCTAGAAAGTGAAGATTGGATACCTCCAGCTTACTCCGTATTCGTCTATATTCGGTTGATGAAAAATTATTACTGAAAATAATTCTTTATCTTCCTCAGCTATCCGCATAAACTGTGCTTCTTAATCTGTAACCATCTACCTCGAGTGGCACCCGGGCCTTGTAGAGGGCGATCATCACTGTAAAAAAATCGCCATAGAGTGTCCAGACTGTCTAGAATTGTCGATATGACAATTCCTCTCGATTTTGCCTGATTGGGCTACAAGGAACTTTTTGGATGACAGTTTAATTTCCTATGCTAATAAATTTTGTGCTGATATTCTTTCAGCTCATAACAAAATTTTATAAAGCTTATTTTAGGAAGTAACTAAGCACTTGACAAGTAACAAAAATTAAAATTTCGGAAAGCTGAGCGTCTTTCATTCTTCCAATAATAGCTTAAATATTGCATGACATTTCTTCAAAAGATGAAAAAACTGGACTACTTTCTGCTCTCTAGGTCAGGTAAGTTACCAATGAAAGGTTAAATGCGTGACTACAGACTCGGAGATAAAAACAGTAGTCACACAACCAGCGAAACATGTTTTAAAATCTTCCGACTAACGAAACGAATTTACACAAAACCAATGAATATTTACTCGTTTCCAAACACATCTGTTTGTTATTAGGAGGAAGATTCTAATAAATACATGTTGCCGACGTCTGAACAGGCACATTTTGTTTGTTCAACGTGAACAGATACCACCTGATATTAAACAGGGCGATTATTATTGACAGTTTCTCCGAGAGATCGCATCATCTGTTGTGATCAGTATTTTGAACAAGGTTAGTAAGTTCAAAACCTCTGTCAAGATGACTCGTTACTTTGTGCTAGCCTAACCATCGACAACCCCCGAATAGCTCCTTCTACGCAATTTCATTCTTAATGCTTGGGTCAACCCGTAATATGGTTTACAAGCATTTTCCACATGCATCGTGCGCTAGCAGCAGACGGATAAGTTCAAGTAACCACCTCCTTGACAAATCGACCATCATGAGTTCTGTACCCGAATCCTCGGCCTCTGTATACACAACAGTACACAATGTCACTATCTACAAAATCATCTCCAGTTAAATTTCTGAAAAAAATAAGAATCCTGCTTATTCTTGTGGAAGACCGGAGATTACATCGGCTGAAGTGTTTTGGAAGAAACAACAAACATGGACATACTGGCCCAATTGTATCATTCGCTGAACATTAACTGAACATATTTATTTTTTACGTAAATGATACTATACGATTATTTTATTCCATTTTTCATTTGTAATCATTTTACGCCAAGCAAGGCAATAAAGCCACTAAGACGCAAAGTTTTATTGAATTTTAAAGAATATAATAAGAAATCTATTAGGGTTAAATACCAATATAGGAACAGGAAATAAGAAGATACATGATAACTATTAACATTGAAATTTAAATTTTTGAGGATCAAACTGAACGGGGAGACAGAAAATCGCAAGAGAGATTCACAAGCCAGAACCGCTAGAGAAGAAACTCTTGGCAAAGAACTTACGGTTAATTCTGGCCATTTCAGTTTTAAAATGATGAGAAATTGTCGCCAATCTGGTACTGTGCTTAAATTCATAAAGTCTACGTACCATTGAGGAAATTTTCATCAGAACAATTACCATGAAAGTATTTATAGAAAAGGCACAGAGAAGCGACATTATGGTGGTTGTAAAATGACTGAAGCCGAGATGCCCGGTCAGGACCATTAACATTGCAGAGTCTTCTTTGGATTTTGTCAAAGGTCTCAAAATATATAACAAGAGTACAGAACCAGATATGGTAGTAATTTTCAAATCATGGACGAATGGGAGACTTTTAAATATGTAAGATAGATTCAAGGGAGAAAAATGTCTACGACGACACAGGAAACCAACTTTCCTAGTAGCAGAACTAGAAATTGATTTAGTATAATGTTTCAAATTCATGTCAGAGGAAAAAGTTAGTCCAAGAACACACGCTTTTTTGTGTATGAAATCTCAAAAGACATTATTCTGTTGATAGCAGACTCAGTAAGAAAACTGAAAGAACTCTTAGACAAGGTAGTAAAGGAAAGCAAGAGCAAAAGATTAACTACTGCGAACACAATAGAATCCATGGTTGTCAAAGACTGAGGCAGATCAAGGAGATTTTGAAACGTCCAAACCCCACTGTTACGGATAGAGTACCTAATGTACGATGGAAAAGTTCGACACAGAAAACTGGATACGAATAGCAAAAGCTGCCGATCAAACACTAAGTAAAATATAACGAAATAGAAAAAAAGAAAAGCTTGATGGACTGCTACGTAATATCTAATCTTCAATATGGTAGTTAGCTTGCGTCTATATCACGTTGAAACACCAGTTCTCGTAAGACCAGTAAAGTTAAGGAGCAACGTCTAGCCTGTCAGTTGCTAGTTGGGTGCTGTCAGTTTTGATGTTCTGGGATGCAATGGATGACGACATGGAATTGTAAATTGGAGAGCTGACTTTGTCGTGTCGAAAGACCGTTTAACTTTCTCTGCACTGTTATTGAAACATTGATTATTCCTATGTGTAAAACTTCTGCTCGTGGAACAGTGGCACAAAGTGGGTCTCTCATCATCTTGCGGCCACAGCCGAGATTGAACTCGCCAATACTTTGATTGGTGTAGTTCATAATCTTGTCAAGTAGTTGAATTCTTGATGCTTCGCTAGGGCTATCAAAGGTGTTTTTATCGTGACACCAACACTAAATGGATTGCCAACCAAAGCTCAGAGAGACTCCATTCAGCCTCCTCTAAGAGCAGGTTTGAATTCAGAGTTTTCCTTCTCCTAGACCAGTTGCCATCCAAGGCTATAGAACCCAGTCTGTCCTGCTATTTACTCATAGCTGGAGGGAGAAGAAAGAGGATTCACACCTTTCCCAAGGGTGTTAGCACGTAAGTGAATGTAATGGATTCGACTGGACTTCGAACTCGGCTCTCCGATTCCTCAATCCAAGCCGCTATCCATTACTCCACCGTGCCTCCACCGTGGGTCGCTAAGGCGTAGGGCATTCAGTCCTACTGAACGTAATTGTAATCTCAATCCATGTTCTCATGTGATTGAACCCTTCTTCCCTCAACCCTTTGTTCCCACTGTCTTTCTTATAATCTTACTAACCAGAAAACTCGAGAGTCATACGAACTTTATAACAGAGTTCCAATTCCAGTCGGGTTCGTTACATACCCTCTCATGCAAATACCCTTGACAAAGGTTTCAATCCAATTCTTCTCAATCTCCTCCTCCTCCAGCTATAGGTTAATTAGTATGACTTCACTCAGTAAATCATTAATTATCTCAAAATTTTCTTACAATTTAAAAAAAAAAATCTGGTTTTAAGTAACCTGCAAAGAGTTGATAGGCCGTAAAAAACACAAATCAATCTATATGCCTGTGAAGGCTGGTAATTATTGCTATATTTGAATATAGGTAAGGTTCTACCAGCTAACGTTGAAATTATTATGAGGAGAGTATATGAGCAACTAGGAAGTTTTAGCTAAAATAGGGGCAACAAAGTAACTAATAGATACAATTAGAAAAACAAAGACATTTTTTTGAAGGTATACATAAAAAGTTCTTGGAGAATCTGACACTCAAAGAACATACTAACCTAAAGTGTTGTAACGCGAAGCAGTTAATTATCTAATTAAAGAATTCATATGAATGGCAGAACAAGAACGAAAAGGAATGGTGAAGTTAATCAAAGCATGGAAAAGTAGAAAGTGGTGGAGAGCCATGATCGGCGCGTAGAAGAATTAAAATAGGTAATTCAGCAGTAGCATGTGACAGCGTAACTAAATTTTGTTGAGACAGACGACTTTTGAATATAAAAGGGCTGGCGGTATTCGGTCTGTAATCGATAAAATCTTCATATGGCTTCCTCGTGGAGTCTTGACAAAGATCCCCTCCAGTTGTCTCTGTGATCAGAGAATAACCGGAAGACAATTTAATGTATAGCCACAGAGAGCATAAATTGTGTGATTTCATTTCTTTGTGTTAGATTTAACACCCTCGGGGAAGTGTTCGGTTTTAGCGTGCTTTTGATTGATTCTAAAAGGGAATTGAATAATAAAAAAAATAGACAATTGTTCAAATCTGATGTAGAAAATGAAAAGGGAAAGGGAAAAGGTGATGATTCCATATAAAATAATAAACAAAAGACATTTTAGCCTTTCCTTTTCGAATAGGCTTATTTTTATTTCTTTTTAATCGTCGTCCTATTAATTTTAAACACGACGTTCTTTATTTTTCTTCCCACTTAACCATCTTGTCTTTTTTTACGTTATTTTAATCTTTATTTGCAACTATCCGTTTCTTTTTCTTTTAGACACACACTCGGTCATACCGAAGTTTTTTCTCGTTTTCCTTCCATCCTTCCTTCTTTTCTGAGATACTACCTTCCATTCTAGATTTTTATCAATCCAGTCATTTCCCTTCAAATTCCGTCTTTTTTCTTCTTCTTTCTTTACGCACCCATTCTTCCTTAAAATATTTACTACTTCATTTCTTTTTTCTTTATTTACATTTTCATTCATATTTTTTCTTTGTGTTTAGTGACGCAATCATTGTTACTTACGGTCCTTTTTTTCCCTCCTTGATTAATTCCTTCCTTCCTTCCTTCCTTCCTTCCTTCCTTCCTTCCTTCCTTCCTTCCTTCCTTCATTCATTCATTCCATCATTCATTCCTTCTTTCCTTCCTTTTTTCTTTATTCATTCATTCATTCCATCGTTCATTCATTCTTTCTTTCCTTTCTTTCTTCATTCATTCATTCCATCATTCATTCTTTCCTTTATTTCTTTCTTTCTTTTTTCATTCATTCATTCCATCATTCATTCATTCTTTCCTTTCTTTCTTTCTTTCTTTCTTCATTCATTCATTCCATCATTCATTCATTCTTTCCTTTCTTTCTTTCTTTCTTTCTTTCTTCATTCATTCATTCCATCATTCATTCTTTCCTTTCTTTCTTTCTTTTTTCATTCATTCATTCCATCATTCATTCTTTCCTTTCTTTCTTTCTTTCTTTCTTTCTTCATTCATTCATTCCATCATTCATTCATTCTTTTCTTTCTTTCTTCATTGATTCATTCCATCATTCATTCCTTCTTTCCTTTCTTTCTTTCTTTCTTTCTTCATTCATTCATTTATCCCTTTCTTTATTCCTTTCAACCTTCCTTTATTGTCACCTGTCATTTCCATTCATGCTTTCTTCTTTTATATGTAATAATTATTACTCTTTTTCATCTTCTTTCTTTTTTCTATTCTTTCATTCTTTCTTTAATTCATTCTTTCTTTCTATTCTCATTTTCATTTACATTTTTAATCATTTAATCTTATCCACTTTGATTTTTCAATTCTGTTTAATCCACTACCCTCCCATTTTCATGACTCTTTCTTTCTTTTTTTTTTCTTTCTTTCTTTCTTTCTTTATTTATTTATTTATTTATTTATTTATTTATTTATTTCTCCATATTTCTTATATTCTTTCATTCTTTTCCTCTGTTTCACCCTCTATTCTGTATTCATTTATTTAGATAGAGTTCCATTAATTTATTGACTGTTGCTCTCAATTTCCTGTTTTTTTTTTCTTTTTTCACACGCTCATTTATTTTATTAACCTTCTTTCTTTCTTTCTTTTTTTGGATCGGCCCATTATTATCAGTTTTTTTTTTCTTACGTTCTTTCTTTTTCTATTTGACTTTTCATTTTTCCATTTTTATTTCACCTTCCTTTTCACTACATGTTTCTTTGTCCACCTCGTTATTCTTTTAGACCTTTTCTGCTTCCCTTTTCTTTTCTCTCTCTATCAGACTCTCAATTTCTACCCCTCTCTCTGTAGCTCCTTCAATTTCGTTTTCCTTCCCCACATGATAGATATTTTTTTATAATTTATCCGTCATCCATTTCAAGTTGTTCCTCTTGTATACATCTTATTTATTTTGTAACGACAAAGAAAAAAAGACCAGCCAGTCGTTAATCCTCCTATTCATATCGACAGCCACCTTTTAAACTTACTGTTAACATGACCTCACGTTCGAATATTGTCGCAAAAACCTTATGTATATAGCAGTTTTAAGTATATTGCATGCCATTTTACTTGACGTTGAAATCACGGGCCTTCGTAAAATAACCGACTGTAAATATTTATAGCAACCCATGATCTCTGAATACTAACAAATTTTCATGAATTAGAATGAAATAAAAATAAATTGTAATAATAAAGATACCGCCAAATGGATGAAACAATGAACTTTCTGCAAATAAAGTCCTCAATAGTTAACTAGAGCAATTATTATTGCATCGGAAATAATAAAGTTCAGTGCTTATCGAGGTCGACGTTAAGTTTCAGAACACCTCACTCGTCTGGATTCCGGTCGAAATTTCTGAATTGAGAAACATTCTATTTTTTCAATCGAAATTTATGACAAGGGAAAAAAATAAGAAAAACAGAGTTTACAACAAAAAGACTAGAATTTATCAATTTTGATTCAATAATAATATCAAATGACACCGATATTAACATAACTTAAAACGATTACTTCGTTACTTATATTAGTGCATCATTTTACTTACAATTATTGCCTGGTAAAGTGAATAACAATCAGTCTATCTTTATTTTTAACAAATTAGCTGTAAATTATCAAGTGCCTTTTTTATAACTGTTATATGGGAATAAAGCACCGCCGCCGACAATTGAGTTTGAACATAGATCGCCAGTGTGCTAGCACAGGCGATCCCATTATTGAATTAAGTGGATCACGTGACCATAGTAGAAAGCGTGACGTAAAACGATCTCAATTTTCTCTATTACTATTTGGATCACCATTTCTAATCTATTCTCTATACTATTTACTATACTACTTGTCTATTCGGATCACTATTCGAGCGAGTATTATCGAGCAAGCACTATTAGTGTGAGTGTTATTCGAAGGCGTCTGACACCAGTATTGTTCAACGACGTTACTATAGTTGTATCTGTGATTACAAAGTCTCAAGTACAACGAGCATTACGAAGTGACAACGAATATGCGCCGACATTGCAAAAGTGGCAAAGAGTGTTCGCTGACATCACAAACATAACCGTCTGTCACTTATTGCTAAGACGTTTTTTATATTTATATAAGTAGTCGATTAATCGTTCTATGTAAACGTGTTAATCGAAATAAATGCTTCGTAATTTTCTTGCTCAAAGTTTGTTGTGGAACTTGAAAGTGGTTGATTACAAATTCCATGTGGTTGATAATTAAGCCATTCGTATGTATTCTTTCTCTTTATGTAATACCTGATACCACGAGTCTCATTTATCAAATATTTTAGTTAATTCCAGTTTTATTTATTTGTAAAAAAAAAGTAGAGTATTTTTCAGGAACAAATATATATGTGTATATATATATATATATATATATATGTGTGTATATATATATGTGTGTATATATATATGTGTGTATATTTGTGTGCGTTTATATGTGTATATATATGTGTATATATGTGTGTATATATATATATATATATATATATATATATATATATATATATATATATATATATATATGTACGTATATATGTGTGCATATATATCGGTGTATATTTATCTGTGTTTATATATGTGTGTGTATATATAATCACAGTTTCAAATGCATAAGCGACTGGACTGAACTCTAAACATGGATGCATTGGTCTCCCTTATTTCAAGTTTTCCAAACATCTTCTTCGCTGCTACTTGATGCTTTGCTTTTAAGATTTAGATCTTCTTCCTTTTTTCAGGAATAACAAATTAATTCTATTGGTATAGAAAAATCGATAATTAAAAACTGAATTTCGTAGTTTTAAACCTAAAAATGGAATTAACAATCTTTTTATGTTTGGTTTGATCTGGTTTGTTTCGTTTTAGAGTATATCACCCTCAATGGGTTATTGATGTGATGGAATAACCTGCCACCCCCATAAGTGGCGGCACTATAGGTGGTAACCACCTTGTTAGGTACCTATTCTTTGGTAATGGACTCTCCCATAGATAATAAGTAGGAGTAGCAGTGGCAAGTCTGGCAGAACGGTGTTGAGAACGTCAGTCGAGATTCGGACATTTGAAGTACCAACCATCAGAACTAGATTTGCTGCGTCATTGACTATTATTTCCCAAGTTCCTAACGTTTTGTACGACTTATTAGAAATACAAGCCTCCACTGTGAAAATACTCCACAACACACCTATAAGTATCCGTTAGGACAGCGGACAGTAGAGTTGAGCTGGGATCTGCGATAACTAGCGGCCTTCCGATAGCAGCACGCACACAACTGTATTGACTTGCGACGGCCGTGCGCATAACTATTACTTTCTTCGTTGTTGTACTGGTTTCTACAATAAACTTATTTCTATTTATCTACCATGTTTGTCCATTACATATTACGGAATATAAGTTATTTGATGCCAATAAGTTTTTTTTTTCTTTTTTTTTTTTCAAAAAATAATATTGCTGGTAATATTTTTTCTTTCAAAAATATATTGCTGGTAAATTTTCCAAAATATATTGCTGGTATTAAAACTTGTTTTTACACCTTCATAGTGTTTTGATCCCAGTTTGGTGATTCATTGCTTGCCCATAGCTGGGATCCTAACTGATGCTATGATTCTTCTGGAAAATAGATTGTAACATTAAAACTGTAACATTTACCATAGAATTTTCTTATAATGCAGTAGTTTTCAATCTTTTTTTGGCTAATACACCCTCTTCACCATATGACACCACCATTTCTAAGATTATCTGACTAAATAGGTGCATTCTAAATAATATGTATCTATTATTAAAAACTTCATTCTTTTCCATTTTAGTACATATACATTTACATGCATTATTTTTATATAGGGCTCTCTCAAATTTAATAGCAATAGAAAATGTTGATTGATTTTTAAACTTATATGCACGTACAGTAATTTGTTTTAATTCATAACTAATTATTAAATAATAAAAATGATGTATACTCCAACATGCTCAGTAAGATGTTATGTATTTTAATTGATTATATTCTGATGAAGATTGCAGTCAATGAGAAACATGGGAAAAGGTGAAAGATTTTGCCGCCTTCAAAGTTCTGAACCTTCACCCCGATAATATAAATGCTGTTGCTTTAATATGTATTGCTGATGAGGAAAAAACAAATTGTCAGTTATCAAAAATGAAGACAGGCACACCTAACAGAAAAAGGTTTTTATATGTATCGTTTGAATGCATTGTTAATTGTAATTTCACTATAGAATACTCTCCATTTAAATTTTTGACTATTGGATGTGACAGAAAAGCAAGAAACTGGAAAAAAATTCCAGAAGTGAGACATGCAGGGAAAAAAATAAACTCTGAATCAGTAAAAATATGAGATCTAGCAGACAATCCAGTAGTAAACTAAAGTTTGAAAGAAGAGTATTAAACCAAAACATAATTTACTTAAAGGTAATTGTTTAGTTGCTTTTATAACTTTAGCCATTGTCATTAATATTCTACATATTCTCTCACTAATGACTTCAATGTATTTTTTTTATTGTTCTCTGATCTCTGTTCAACTAAGTTTTTTTGCAATTTTCAATTCTGTTTCCATCACTCAATAACTTTACAATATCTTTTCAGATTACATATTTCTTACAATCAATAGCAATCTTTATAAATCTATAATTAGAATGAAAACTATCAATATCTATTGCATATATTTATTTACAATATGATGATCACCACCTAATTTGCATTTTCAATTTCGCACCATTAAATAAGTTATTGTAAATACTTATAAAACCAGATATAAGATGAAATTCGCTTGGTATATTAATTCTGTAAGTACACCAATCATGAAGTCACAAGTCATAGCGACGAAAGATTTGAACGTACTGGACTTGCTTAAAAAATTGACCATGCTGGATTAACTATGTTTCACTCGGCATAATTGCTGTATAAAGTGCAAATGTGCTCTGTGGATTAAGCAAGCCTCTGTAATCGAGTGTGGCTAGCCGCTCTGGCTGATGGTTGCGCTCAGAAATGAGTAGTAGCTATTCATACATCTTTAAACTTTTTTATCAACAACAATTAGTATTACTATTAATTAATAATTTATATTAGTATTCGAAGTAAAAGGTGGAAACTGTACATTAGGATACTGCTCCCAAACGTACTAGGAAAGTTTGGACTACTTCCAGAAACGAAGA